ACCATCAGAGAAGGGAAACTTTCCTCTTGAAAGGACAAGCAGACCAGCCTGGAGCAGTCAGAAAACCAGAAGACACTTCTTGAAAGAAGAACCTACAGGAAAAATACAAAACAACAAGGGCAGACCAACTGTTACCACAAGAACAAGCAAGCTGTCTGCCCAGGAGATATCAAGGCAAGTGATCAGGTCCTCTCAGTGCAAATCCTCCTCCAAGACTAAGACACAATGGGAAAACGTGTTCTGATTGGCGACCACACACATCACCCATAAAGAGAAGTGACCGAAGAACATCGAAGAAGCAGCGAGCTAAGCCCTGCATCGTTCAGAAGACTATGGTGAGCCCAAGTGGAGAGCTGGTCAGCCAGCAGTGAGGCAAGACCTGGGGACTCATGGGCTCAGATTCAGTGACACATCGACAGAGGACTAGAGTGGAAACCGAAGCGACCAACTGATAAGAAGAGGGTGGACAGACGCAGGAACACCCACACCTGCAGATGATACCCACTTGCCATGGCTCCAATGATGGGACGAACAAAGCTCAATCCGAAGAAGAAAGAAGAGGAAAAAAGTGTCATCTGACACAATTTGATAAACTGGACATCCACCTATAAATGCAGTAGCTCAAAAGAGGAAACAAATCCCTGCTCCAAGAATTATTCCCACCCCCTCGACACAAAGAGTAGATAGGGATGGACAACTTGAACACTGACTAATCAAAAATGGGAGAAGAGATACAAAGGTAAGAAGTGACTGGCTTACAAGCTTTCAAGAGGAAACCTAGATCCACAAGGCGGGAAGGATGGTAGAGTCTCCAGTGAGTAGTATCCGACCTGTCTAGGAAGGGCAGATGAAAAGAAATGCAGATGGGTCCCTTGGGATGCAAGGGTGAATAACTGTCACCAGGACTGATTGTGAGGACTGGAAATGTAAAGGTGGACATTTTATAGCAAGGAGGGGAGTGATTAACCTTTCAGTCTAGGAGCAGAGGGCCCTGGGACCATCAATGGAGAAGAGCAGAGAGCAGGATCCCACCCAGAGGAGCAGTGAGGCCTGAAACTGAGACAGAGAGGATGACGTGAAGAGATAGGATGATGTGAAGAGATGGAGTGGCTGGGGACTAGGGATCCAGAGAGGGAGAGGGGCTGTGTGCTGAGGACCATAAGGGAAGTGTGGGCGGAATTGCAGGGTATACCCTTGGGTTGGGTGATGATGCATGGACGGGATGGTAACTATGGCAATGAGACGATGTATGATGGAATGAATGTAAAACTAATGCTCCACCATGTAGACTATCACACAATACACAATAAAACATTAAAAAAAAAAATCATGAAGATGGTGCAGAACCAGGCAGCATTTCATTCTGTTATTCATAAGGTCACCAACTCAATGGCCAGTATCAACAACATAGTACTATCTTAAACTTTATTAATTGTTGCTAAGTGCCAAAGAGTCTGTTCCCACTCATAACAACCCTGTATAGGGCTTCCAAGGCTATAAATCTTTATGGGAGCAGAAAGGCATATCTTTCTCTCACACAGTGGCTGGTAGGTTTGAACTACAGACCTTGTATTTAGCAGTTCAGTGCTTATCCTACAGCACCAGCACCCTTTAATCATTTATTTTTGTTATTGTTACTGCCATCAAGTCGGTTCCAACTCATAGTGACCCTGTATAATAAGGTTTCCAAGGAACATATGGTTGAGTTTGAACCGCAGACCTTGATGCTAACCTTGAGGTCAAATGCTTATCCTACGGTGCCATACCAGAACTCCACTTTTATTAATTTGAGTCCTATAACATCTCTTAACAGTGACAAAGCCATAATTCAGATTTATAATCAAAAATAGTTTTGAAGTACAATTGTGTCACCTGTAAGAAATATCCTCTCATACTTCTAAAACAAACAGCAAAAACAGCAAAGAATTCTACTAAACTTAAAATTCTATTAAGCTTAAATATTTCTATGACAATAATGAGATTTATGTTTCATGGTGATAAGATAAAAAAAAAAAAAACATAAATAACAAGGTACACTTAGGTTACACTGCAGAATATCCTAACCTCAAAGGATCATATCAGTATATATTAAGATGTAATTTAGGTCCTACAATTAACAAAAGATCAAAACAAGACATATAAGAAAATAAAAATATGCTCTACTAAAATACTTAAAACATACCAAACAAAACTATATACTTAAAGAAATTAGTTTTAATTACCTCCTGTAAAGGGAGATTCCAGCGTTCTGAGCTTCTGAGTTTGGACAGTGATGACTGAACATGAATATCTTCTGGTTTTGCATTTAGCATCTTTGTTATCCGAAGCTGGGGTGAGAAGATAATCAATTTAATTGAAATATAAGAGTTGAATCATGTAACATTAACACTTCCCTACTTTATTTTTTTAAGTCCTAAATTCAGTGCTGAATTTATGGTGGTTGGTTCGTTGTGTGCAGAGGAGTCAGTTCGGAATCACAGTGACCATGAATAGGGTTTCCACGGCTATAAATCTTTACAGGAACAGAAAGTCTCATCTCTCTCGCACGGAACAGCTAATAGATTCAAACTGCTGACATTGAGTTTAGCAACCCGACTTGTAACCACGGCAATTAAATGTAATTTTATGAGATAAAACAAAGACCCTTCACTGAATTCAAAGGCAGATACATGAAGAATTACAGTAGTGTCTTAACTATTCTCTTGCCTATAGTCTCTTCCCTTTCTAATATTTCAAATGCCATTCCTAAAGTTCTCTAATAAATCTAATTATGTACATTTAATAATGGCATCCTATTACTTATACATTTGTTGTTAAGTGCCATCAAGTTGGTTCTGACGCATAGCGACCTTGTATAGGGTTTCTAAGGAGCAGCTGGTGGGTATGAACCACCAAACTTGCAGTTCAAACTGATCTTGGGTCCAGTGCTTATTCTACAGCATCACACCAAGACTCTTATTACTAACACATGTTTTTTTAAATTTGCGCTTCTTCACATCACCCACATTACTCAAACACTGCAAATGCTAATCCCAACCATACTGAAGTAGCATGTCCTATTATTTCATGTTTCTTTTGCTGTTGTAGCTGTTAAGTGCCATCGAGTTGGTTCCAACTCATAGCAAGCCTGTATAAAGATTTCCAATGAGCGGCTGGTAGGTTGGAGCTGCTGACCTTGCAGTTAGGAGTTCAGTGCTTATCCTACCATGCCACACCAGGTCTCCTTTATGTCCCTAGACTTGTATATACTGCTCTCTCAACCCAGAATGCCTGTCCATCTGTTTTGCCCTGGTGAAGTACTTCAAATTCTGTTCAATTATCCCCAAATCCATGTAACTGCCACCCCGATAGCAAGGTATTCCTTTCTCTGGTTATTAGGATTTGGTGTATTTCTGTTGTTGTTGTTGTTAAGTTCCACTGAGTCTGTTCCGGCCCATAGCGACCCTGTATATTACTTACTTATATTACATATGTTGTTGTTGTTAAGGGCCATCAAGTCAGTTCAACTCACAGTGATATCATACATTATTTGTCTACATTAACTTCTTCACATCCTTTACAGAACACCGAAAACAAACCCACTGCCATCAAATCGATTTCTACTCATACTGATCCTATCTTATATATCTTTACGTCTCCAAAGTATGTGACTCATGACATGGTGAAAAATGAATGAACAAATTTAGAGGCTGTATCCACAGTTCAGAGTCCTGGTGTGGCACTGTGGGTTAATGCACTGGACAGCAAGGTCCATATGAACCACAAAGTCAGCGGTTCAAACTCACCAATCACTCCTTGGAAACCCTATACAAAGTCGCTATGGGTCGGAACTGACTTGAAGGCACTTAACAACACCACCCACAAGTTTGAAATTATTTGTTTAGAATTTAAATAACGTTTACATTGAAAGAAATATATAATTGATAGTTAAGCTTCAAGTTCAAGCTGTAATATGTAACTTATAATAATTAACTTATCAACAGTAATCATAAACAATTCATAAAATTATTTTTATGAGAGGAAAGCATGCAACAAGAAAATGGAATAAATTTTAAGAAAGCATGTCTCTAAACTATTCTAATTTTTTAAAGGATATCTGGTAGCTTATTGGCTAAGTATTGAGCTATTACTAAAAAATTCAGAGACTGAAGTCCACCAAGTTGATACCAACTCATAGTGACCCTATGCACAACAGAATGAAACACTGCCCAGTCCTGGGCCAACCTCACAATCATAGGCATGCCTGAGCCCATCGTTATTACCACTGGGCTAATCCGTCTCATTGGGGTCGTCCTTCCACTTTACCAAACATCATATCCTTCTCCAGTGACAAGTCATTCCTAATAATAGGTCCGAAATATGAGATAAAATCTGGGCATCCTGGCTTCCAGGGAGCACTCTGGTTGTACTTCTTCCAACACAGATCTGTGTGGTCTTTTGGTAGCCATGGTACGTTTAATATTCCCCTCCAACACAAAACATAAATACATAACTCAAGCAACATAAGTCAAATACATCAACTGTTCGATGATCTTCCTTATTTACTGTTCAACTTTCACATGCATGTGAGGTTACTGAAAATACCATGGCTTGGGTCAGGCCTAAAGCATAAAAATGACATCTTTGCTCTTCAACACTTTAAAAAGGTCTTGCACTGTGCAGCAGATTTGCCTACTGCAATACATCATTTGATTTCCTGACTGCTGCTTCCTTGAGTGTTGATGATTAACCCGAACAAAATGAAGTCTTTGACAACTTCAATCTTTTCTCCACTGATCATGATGTTATTTACTGGTCTAGTGGTGAGGATTTTTGTTTTCTTTACAATGAGATGCAACCCATACAGAAGGCTGTAGTCTTTGATTTTCATCAGTATTTCAAGTCTTTTTGCTTTCAGCAAGCAAGGTTGTATCAGCTGCATATCACAGGTTGTTAATGAGTGTTCTTGCAATCCTGATGCCATGTTTTCTTCATATAATACAGCATCTCAGAATATTTGCTCAGCACATTGACTGAATAAGTATAGTGTTAAGTAAGAATACAACCCTAGGACAGCCCAGCGGTGCTCGTGTTTGCGCAGGTGTACATTCCCTCTCCTGCAACATGGCCGACTCATCTCCTCAACCAACCAAGGGAAAGCGCAAATGGGATACGGGGGAGGCGGAAGGCTCCAGCACAGAACAAAAGGAAGCAGGCGTTGGGAATGGTACCTCTGCCCCTGTCCTCTTACCCTTCTCCAGCTTTAGAGTGCAAAAAGTGCTCAGGGAGTCCACACGGGACAAAATCATTTTCCTACATGGGAAGGAGAATAAGGCCTCTCTGGGGACAGGGATGGCAATGATGCCGTTGTGATCTTGGAGAAGACACCATTTCAGGTGCAGCAGGTGGCCCAGCTCCTGACAGGCAGCCCTGAACTCCAGTTGCAGTTCTCCAATGATATCTACAGCACCTGTTGCCTGTTCCCTCCATGGCAACTGAGTGAAGACCACCATGGTTTACCCTGCCACAGAGAAACACCTGCAAAAGTACCTGCACCAGAACCTCCGGCTGATCCAAGAGACTGGAGACTATTACAAGAACATCACTTTGCCCCACTTAGAGTCTCAAAGCCTCAGTATTCAGTGGGTATATAACATTCTCGAGAAGAAGACTGAAGCTGACCAGATTGTTTTCGAGAACCCAGATCCCTCCAACAGCTTTGTCCTCATCCCTGACCTCAAGTGGAACCAACAGCAGCTCGATGACCTGTACCTGATTGCCATCTGCCACCACCATGGCATCAAGTCACTGCGGGATCTCACTCCAGAGCACCTGCGACTGCTGAGGAACATTCTCCAGGAGGATCAGGAAGCCATCCTGCAGAACTACCAGGTGAAGGGGGACCGCCTGCACATGTACCTGCACTACCTGCCCTCTTATTATCACCTGCATGTTGCACTTCACGGCCCTGGGCTTTGAGGCCCCTGGCTCTGGGATGTAGCGGGCACACCTACTAGCAGAAGTAATTGAAAACCTAGAATGTGACCCAAAGCACTATCAATAGCGTACTCTAACCTTTGCCCTCAGGACCGATGACTCCTTGCTCCAGCTGTGGCAGGAGGCCCAGAAGAGTTGAGTTGACTTAGGAAATGTCAGGAGAGCACAGATATGTGGGGACTGGGGTGAGGTCAAGGGAGAGAAGAGGCATTTGTATAACTTAGTGATTTTTTAAAATGTATTTTGTACTGACTTGTTCTTAGTATGTGAATAAAGCATTGGATCATTAAAAAAAAAAAAAAGAATACAACCCTAACAACACCTTTCCTAATTTTAAACCATTCAGTGTTTCCATGTTCTGCCTCCTAGTCCATATACAGGTTCCTCATGAACATAATTAAGTGTTATGGAATACTCATACTTCGCCATGTTGTCCATAGCCTGTCATGATCAACACAATCGAAAGCCTTTCCATAGTCAATACAGCACACGTAAACATCTTCTGGTACTCTCAGCTCTCAGCCATCTGACATCAGCAATGATACCCCCCTGGACCCATGTCCTCTTCTGAAACCGTCTTGAACCTCTGAAGTTCTCTGTCAATGTATGGCTGCAACCATTTTTGTATTACCTCTAGTCAAACTTTACGCACGTGGGATATCAATGATATTGTCCAATAATTTCCAGATTCCATTAGGTCACCTCTCTTTGGAAACAATCTGTATTTGTGGCCATACCAGTCAGTCGGCCAGATAAGAGTCTTCCAAATTTCTTGGGATAGATGAGTGAGTGCCTCCAGCACTGCATCAGTTTGTTGAAAGATTTCAATCTGTATTCCAACTATTCCTGGTGCTTTGTTCTTTGCCAATGAGTTCAGTGCACCTTGGACTTCTTCCTTCAGGATCATTGACTCTTGATCATATGCTATCTCTTAAACTGGTTTAACATCAACCATTTCTTTTTGATACAGTGACTCTGTGTATTTTTTCCATCTTGATACTCTCTACAATATTCAGTATTTTGCCCATAAAATCCTTCAATACACCAAGTCGAGATTTGAAGTTTTTCTTCACTTCCCTCAGCTGAGAAATGTTGAGTGTGTTCTTCCCTTTTGGTTTTTTCATTCCAGGTCTTTGAACATTTCATTATATTTGACTCTGTCTTCTCAAGCTGACTTCTGACATTGTTAAATTCTTGTATCTCCTTACTTCTTCCATTTGCTCTTCTAACATCTCACACTGGAGAGCAGGTTTCAGAATCTCTTCTGACATCCATTTTGGTCTTTTCCCTCTTTCTTGTCTTCTTAATGATGTTTTGCTTTCTTTCTGTATGATGTTCTTTT